GTAAATTCAATTCTGCCCCCATCCTTCCCTTTTTAGAGGCACAGACACGAAGGCAGTGGCTGTTTGATGTACAAACACATTCACAGTGTGCCAATAACATCATAAACCTTGAGGAGACACCTGAGAAATTCTGGCCACCTTTGAGCACCATCAGTAGGAGCCTCTGCTCTCAGCAGTTTTCTGCTGCTTATTTTAAAGGCAATTCAGTGCCAAATGCACCCAGAAAGGGGTTTTGGGGACAGGAGGCAGTCAGCTTGCTGCTAATGCATTGTATTCTTTCACACCCTGATCAAACTAAAACTCTCTGATGTCTCATGAATCTCCCTAACAGATTCCAGATGAAAAATGAGCAGTTGAGTGATCCCCAGTGAGCAATTCAATCCCCTCCAGCCCCACAGAACTCTGATTTTCCAGAGCACCTCAGGACTGTCCACTGCACAAATAAATTGTATTTTGAAACCGTCCCACTCCACCTACCCAAACATTTTAAGAGTTTACTGTCCCAGCTTACCAGAATCTAGCAAGGATGAACACTTTGACCTCTTCAAACTGGATGTTCTTTTCAGAGAAGGGTTCAAGGCCACATTTTCTAAGGACAAAGATCCATTTCTTGGCGATGTCAATAAATCCCCACAGAGATTAAACCCTAGGAAAGAAATAAATGCCCAAACTACAATAAAACCAACCAGCACCAAGTTAAAACCCAGTATTACCAGCCCTAATTTCCATTTCAGCAGCATTGAGCAGGGAATATTCATTTAAGAAAAACCCTCATCCTCACTTTCTGCTGTGAGTTTCTCTGGTTCACTCATACTCAGTCTAATCCTTTCCCAAGGGAATTCTTCCTTCCCTTCCAAGTCTTTGCTTTCCTGCTCTTTATGGTTGTGTTCTCTGTCTTCTTTCCTCTTCCTCCTCAGCTTCTCCTGAGCAGATTTTGACAAGGTCGCTTTTATCTGCAAAAAAAAATCATGCCTAAGTTACCCCAGAGGTGATTCCCCAGTTCCTGATACTGGACAAGGTCAGCATGGAAAATCAGCATTTTCTCTCATCTGACCCTTCTCTCTCATGTCTTTATGACACTTTTTGTGCCTTAGGAAAACTCAGCAAATTAATTTAATCCAGTTAAATTTAAACTCAGTTTAATAAATTTAATCCATTTACTCCTTTGAATTTGATCCTGCCAGGGGTTCACATCTTCAGTGGAAATCAGAAAATTAAGACACTGTTAATCATTAACCTCAAGATTTAGTATTCTTCAAATGTTATTTTAAAGGCTTGCAGAAAGAGTTTCATTTCAATGTTTTTTGACTTTGTATCACACTTCACTCAGATAAATCTTGCTCCATTTACATTTGTAAATAGTATTTAACAAACAGCACCACCCCTCAGAAACCAGATTATGGGCAAATATTCAAGAAGAGTTTTCCTTTTAAGAAAAACTTCTGATTGGAGCTGGATTAATTCATCCCTGGGGAAAACAAGACCTGATCCAACACAGCCAATCCCTCCTTCCACACCTGCACGTGCTGTGGGAGTCAGGGAGGCATTTCCCAGCTCCCCTCCTTCCTGCAGCCCTTCTCCAGGGATTTGAGCCTGGTGGGAAGCTCCTGACACATCCATTTGCCATCCAGGTGGCCCCAAAAGGAAAACAAGGGGAGCAGCTCGATGGCTTTGGCTGTTCCAATCATGCCCAAACTCAGTGTGACTGAGCAGGGCTGCACTCACCCCACCCCACCAGGATGAGAAGGCAGCAGGCTGTGCAGTGCTTACCTCTCCTTCATTCCCTGCATGGCAGTGGGAATGGGAAGTGCTGTTCTGCTGGAAGCTTCTCCCTGGGGCTGCCTCTGCTCCCTCCCTGGCAGCCTGGCTGTCCCCATTGGCCACACAGGGCATGGACTGGCTGGGAGCTGGGGCAGGAGCGCTCCCAAAAACACCTGGAGGGCAGAACACGGGGTCACACACTGCTTTGGGGTGGAAGGGACAGCAAACATCTCATTCCAGGGATGCCATGAGCAGAATTGTCTATCCAGGAACCGCAACGCCTTCAAACGTAATTCTTTGTATTCCCACTGAACTGGGGATTGTGAACAATCTAAAACATTGTGCAGATCCATTTGTTCTTTTCCCACTCTACATAAAGGCACATTTTCCCTCATTTCATAACTCAGACACACACAGGGGATGATTTTGGGTCTGTGGTACCTTTACCAACAACAGCAACGACATCTTCAGGTGTGAACCCCAGATCGTTCTTCGGTGCAAAACCAGGCACTGACTCTGCAGGGCCTGAAAGCACAAAGAGCACTCCCTGAAAATCGTGCTGGTTATGTTTTGGGATGTGCCTCATCCTCCTAAAATGTCACCCCACGTCTGAACTGATCCCTTTCCCTTTTCCCAGGTTACCAAAGCCAACAGGATCTGCTGAATACCCATGTGAAGGATGTCCACATCCCACTGACACGAGCCTGGAGCCAGGCTGGGAGAGCTGGGAATGTTCCCCTGGAGAAGGGAAGGCTCCAGGGAGAGCTCAGAGCCCCTTGCAGGGCCTGAAGGGGCTCCAGGAGAGCTGGAGAGGGACTGGGGACAAGGCCTTTCCCCCACCCAGCAGAACCAAAACTGGTTAAACACAAATAATCCCACCCAGCAGTTCCCTGCCTGTTCCAGGGACCCGTGCTGCCCTGGGAGGGGAGAGCACTCCAGCAGCACCTAACCTCAATTCCAACAGGAAATGAGCAAGCCTGGAACTCCTCACCTGAGCACCCTCAAATCCCAGTTTGGCCCCAGAGCACCCAGAAGTTCCCTTTGCTACGTGAACAGCCCCACCAAGGGGCACTCTGGCCCCTGAGGTGAGCATGGACAGGAACACACCTGTGCTGGGGTGATGCTCTGCCCCCTCTGCGTCTCTGGGCCTTGCTGGAGATACTTTTGCAGGGTGGGATTTGCTGCCAAGTGCTGGAAAAGTGTCTGACCTGTTCAGATAAACACATTTTATAGGTGCAATTCTCCACAGCTGTCAAAGCCCAGCCAAAAACAACAACGGATTTCAGTCTCTCCATGATAATATTTCCAGTATTCCCACAAATATTCCCACTGAGCACAAACAGAATTCAGTGGGAATTATTTGATGAGCAGGTCCATCATGAAGAACACCCTAAAGAAACCTTACACTAGGACTAAATTCAGGATACACCCATAAAGGAATTGTTTGGCCTGGGGAGTGAGAATGCTGGTTCCAACCTGGCCAAGGAGAGTGACCAAATCCTCCTGCCACTTCCAGGGATGAGCTGCTCCCAGCTCAGTGTCCACCACAGACATTCACCAGGAAAATGCTCTTATCTACAAGAACAACTTTTCAATTCTTTTAAATTACAAATGATTCTCTGGATATGAGAGGTGATGGAGCCCAGAGCCAGTGCAATACCCACAACTAAAGACTCTTTGAGGCTGCAAGGGAAGGCCCATGCTCCAGGACATCCCTAATTCCTGTTTCCAGCTCCCATCACCCACGGCACTTTAGCAGCAGATAAACCAAACCCTTCCCAAAGCAGCCACACCAAAACCCCATTCCTGCCACAGGTTTTGGGAACAGACAATGCCTGTTTGTGCCAGTGCTCACAAAACTCCCTGGCATTTTTTGAGCGCTCCAAGGCTTTCAGTGTCACCTGGGATGGACTCTGTCACTCCTCCCAGCTCAGGGTGACTGCCACGTGTCCCCTCCCTTCCTGGCTGGTTCACAGCTCCTCTGACTGAGGACCCAGTAAAATATTAAGCACTGGATGATGGACATGGCAATGTTCAGAGCGTGGCTTAGCCCAAACCAGCCCACCCAGGGCTCCACTGCTTTGACTTCTGAAGGATGTCAGCATTTGAATGTGGGATTTTAAAGATTATCTTAAAAAATGTGATTCAGTAGTAATGCACACGGGGAAGGGATGTAAATATAAATTAATTCTGTGCTGCACAACTGAAAACCTTCTGTTTGTGAATCATTCCAGGCTCCTTCTGCCTCAAACCCTTTCATGCTGCCTGTTTTGCTTTCTGTTGATGCAGTTCTGTGTCAGTTCTAAGGAAGGTTCCCTGCTCATGGCAGGGCTGGAATTTGGTGATATTTCAGGTCCCTTCCAACACAAACCACTCTGGGATTCTGTCAGTCTATAAAATATGATTTTGGTACACACAAAAATACCTTCAGAGCAGAGCTACAAAGAGCTTATCATGGGCTCTGAGAGCAGAAAAGGAGAGTTTGGACTGGAGAATTGTCAAAATTCCTCAAAACTCTTTTTATCTCATTAAACAATAGTTTATACTGCTCATAACCACCTGGGTTGTTGCCCTTTACAATCAGAGCATTTGTCACCACCCAATTTCTATTTAGAAGAGCTCTGGGAAGGCATTTTAAATTCACAATTATCTCTCAGGAATAAATGGAACCAGCTCTTGATTCACAATAAGAAACATCTGCATTGTCTTCCTCTTCTCAACAAACCCAATTCAATTTCCAGGCTGTAATAACCTGACCTTATCCTTCCTCTTCTCTCTTGTCCTTCTCACTCCCCTATTCACTCTGGTCACGTTCCTGCTGTGCCAGGGAAAGTCTTTATCAAATATTTACTGTCCCTGGCACTGCCTCCCTGCCCTGGCCTTCTGCAGCTTCATGTTAGAAACCAGAAAAAAAAAATAAAATAGAATAAAGTGATTAAGCAGCTCTTGTATTTTTAGAGAAGAACACAATTCACACAGAGAAATCAGGCAAGCCTATATAAAATATGTACCAGCGAGTGCCTGGTTTAAGTGAGGCTGTGAGGGCTCTGCAGGCTCAGGTGACACTCACATCACTCTCCTCCTGGGGGGCAGCGTGCCCACGGGGGAGCCCGGCGATTCCTGGCTGCAAATTCCGCTCTCGGTGGAAGCGGCTCCGGGGGAGGAGCCCTGGGAGGAGCAATCCCCGGAAAATTCCAGTTTCACCCCCGAGTCGGGGCTCTCCAGGTCGGCGATGCTGCTGCTCAGCTTTGCCCTCTTCTTGGCCGCGCTGTTCCGCAGGGAGCGCAGGGAATTCTGCATCTGGACAGGGGGAAAAAGGACAGGGGACACTCAGTGCCCAGGGAAAAACTGCTTTCAGGAATATAAAATCTGTTTTGGAGTGTTCAGCTCAGCCCAGGGGGTGCACAGGGCAGTGTGATCACCTCTCACACGGTGTTTGTGGGATTATAATGATCCCTCTCCTGGTTTTATTTGACAAGAATAATTATCCTGTGAGCAAACCCAACCTGACAGCAGCGCTGCACCCCAGCTCCCCTTTCCCGAGCAGGGCACACATTCCTGCTAAAACACAAAAGCTGCTCCCTGCTTTTTAGGGGATTAAAGGAAGGGTTTGATGGCTGCCAGCACACACAGCAGGACCTCAGGCTTATCCCAGCAAACCTGCACATCCTAGAAGCAGAACCATGGAATGGCTTGGAAAGGACCTTAAGGATCATCCCATCCCAGCCCTGCCATGGCAGGGACACCTCCCACTGTCTCAATGTCCAACCCCAGTGTCCAGCCCCACTGTCCAGCCCCACTGTCCAACCCCAGTGTCCAGACCCAGTGTCCAGACCCAATGTCCAGTCCCAAGGTCCAGCCCCAATGTCCAGCCCCAATGTCCAGCCTGGCCTTGGGCATTGCCAGGGATCCAGGGACAACCACAGCTGCTCTGGGAATTCATCCCAGCTCCTCCCAGCCAGGAATTCCCAATTCCCAACATCCCATCTAAACCTCCTCTGGATCATGCAATCAGTGCCCAGCAAGCAGAGATCCTACTCAAACGAGCAGGAAAAGCTGTAATTACTGAAGTTTTACGCTGCAGCATCCTCCCCTTTCTCGGCTGAGTATTTCCCATGTCAGAAATTCTCCCTCTGTTGAACCCCCCAGGCTCCTTTCCGTGGGAAGCAGAGGATGGAAGGTGCAGGCAGAAAGGCAAAGCCAGGAAATCAGAGAATTCCAGACTGGCTGGGGATGGAAGGAACCTTGAAGTTCACTTTGTCCCATGGGCAGGGACATCTTCCAGCACCCCAGGGTGCTCCAAACCCCATCCAGCCCCGGCACTTCCAGGGATGGGGATTGTTATAAATGGCAGTAGAGTTATTGGCTTTGTATTTATGCACTGGCCTTTGCCAGTTATTATTGATCACCAAGATTCTGATAGAGTAGAATTTGTAATCTCTTTTAATTGCCTTTTGATATGGTTTAATCTGTCAGCTTTTGTATGCAGTGTAGCTTATACAAATGGTAGTGTGAGAAAAATATTATAATATTATATATACTATAATATATATAAATATATTTATATATTATACATTATATATATTATATACAATATATAATATATATAACATTATATATATTATATATAAATATATATAATTATATATAAATATATATAAATAAATATAATATCTATAATAAATAATATAACATATATTATATATTATATAATATTATATATAATATAATAAGTTATGTATTAATATAATAATTAATTAATGATTTATTAATAATTAATATATTAACATATTATATATTATAATATAAATAAGTTATGTATTAATATAATAATTAATTAATGATTTATTAATAATTAATATATTAACATATTATATATTATAATATAAAATATAATACTATATATTCACTATATATTTATATATATAAATATATACTTATAAATATGAAATTTATATATTTATATATTTATATTATATATAAATATTAAATGTATAAATATTTATATATTTAAATTTATATAAAATATATATATTTACTATATATTATAGTACTAATACAGAAATATAAATGTAATATACAATACATAAATATATGAGTAGAAATATAAATAATATAAATATATAAAAATAATATAAATATCTGTAAGGTATAATATATGAATATATATAATATAACTATTATAGCTTAGACCTTTGCATCATATTAAAATAACAACTATGTACTGCTAAATACTTTTATTTGTGTAACTAACTCAGATAATGAATTGATTCAATGTATTTGTGGACTGTCTTATCTGAATGAGAAGATAATGACAGGAACCAGGACACCAAGAGAAAATTTACTGCTGACTCTCCAGTTACCAGGAAGTGTCAAAACATCAGGATGGAGCCTCAAGAAGAAATAAAAGGTATTGATTTCATCCACAGACAAGGCAAAGGTTAAAACCAAACAAAAGGATTCCCAGAACATGTAACCCACAGGAATGTCTGAGTATGTATAACCCTCATTAATATGCATTTAACCAATGTAATGAAAAGTAATATAAGTGATATAAGCAATATAAGGAGATTGCTTGAAGCTAATGGTGCTTTTGACCACCAGCACTGGATCCTGTCCCTTTTTTCCCTCATCAAACTTTTATAAAACACCAATTTTAGAGTGAGCCTTGTTTCTCCCAGGCACTGCTGTTAAAATTCCATTTCACCCACCTCTTCCTGGTCCACCTCCTCGGGCTCCAGCTGCAGCTCCGAGCCCTCGCTGCCCTCCCGGGGCAGGCGCGGGATGGGGGGCACGGGCCGGGACCCCCGCAGCCCCGAGACCCTGCCCAGGCCAGCCCTCAGCTGCAGGGGGGGCTTCTCCAGCTGCAGGGGGGGCTTCTCCAGCTGCAGGGAATGCTTCTCCAGCTGCAGGGAAGGCTTCTCCAGCTGCAGGGAAGGCTTCTCCAGCTGCAGGGAAGGCTTCTCCAGCTGCAGGGAATGCTTCTCCAGCGGGCTGTCTCCTGGAACACACAAGGACTGTCAGGGACAGAGGTGAAGGACAAACTTCACCTCTCAGCTCTGTATCTACAAAACTCCTTCTGCCATGGAATGAGTGTTAAAATACATTTGTGCAGGCTGAGGTAACAATTTATTCCACTTTTAGTGTCTCCTTCCTTTAGGAAAATAGAAATCAGTGTTTCCTGCATGTGCACACCAATATAGAATCAAAATATCCTCAGCTGGAAGGGACACACAAGGATCAACAAGGTCCATGCACATGCCCTTAGTCCCTTTAAAAACTAATTAACTTCCTTCATTAAGAGAAAAACATCCCCAAACTTCCATGGAAACTGCTGTAACAAGAGAGGGACTCCAAAGAACCAGAAAAAAATCAAAATGTGTATGGAAAACATATGGTAAGTGATAAATACAGTAACAAATAATAAATAGAACAATAAAGCAAGCTAGATAAATACATCTACAAGGCAGAGTCACAGCCTAGGGGCAGGAAATTCCCAAAGCATTCAGTTGGAAATTTTTTATATATGCACAAAAACATGGGTCTCAGTGAAAATGAAAATTCAAACAGTTTTCTTTAATCAGTGCAAAACTGTAACTTTGTTTCAGAAACCTCCTGAACGATTAGGAAGCAGTTTAACCTAACCAGAGGTTTAGGCTGTTTTTAGGTATTTTTAGATTTAGCATATAAAACCCAGGGGGTTGGAACTGGATGAGTTTGAAGGTCTTTTCCAATCCAAACCATTCTGGGATTCCATGATTCAAATGAAGAGGCAAAAAGGCCAAGTAACCCTTCTCCTGCACGTGGGTTAACTGGGGTATGAACAGGTATTTCTGCTCTGACTTTCCCTGCAAGTGCTCCATTTTGGGGTTTATTTTAGCTGCAGGACAGACCTTTCCCTGAGACATTAAGAAAAGCAAAGCTGCAGCATATTTTGCTTTATGACACATCCAAAGGCTCCTCTTTTGAACAGAAGCCTGTGGGGATGTGTGTTAGGGCTTTTGCAGGTGTGCTTGGCTTGCAGCCTCTTTACAGAGCATGCTGACCCTAACAGTGAACTGCCAAAGAAAAAAAAGTGATAAATATTCCTGCTCATTGAGCAAGAACAAGGATCAAACAAAGGTCTGCAAGCATCTAGTAATTTGCTTTAAGATAAGGATAGTAACGTGTTTAGAGAAGAACAAAAACAGTGTTATATAAACTAGAGCTATAAGTTTGTATTCTATTTTTAGATGCTTGGCAAAAACTATATAAGTAATGCAAGAGCGAAAAATAAAGGTCTCAGTTCCACATCATATTGGTGTGCTGTCTGATTCCTGCCTTAAGATTGGACCTAACAATGTGAGCAGTGGAGCCACAAGTAAATAACTCAATAAATCCCTCCAGTGCCTCACTGCACCTGCCCAATTCCCTCTCAGCTGCCACTGGGGACTTTGTGACCACTGAAAAATCAATCCCTCAAAATACAACCCCCAAATCCCTTTTTATCACATTGAGAACATTCCCACCTGTGCTGTCTCCTGGCTTTTGGCTGAGCAGCTGCCTCTGGCAACCAGGCTTAGGCAGCCCCTGGAAGCTTTTGAGGGGCCAGGAGCTGGAGAGGCTCCTGGGATCCTCCTGGGACTTCCCTGGAGAGGCAGCAGGAGCAGAGAGCAGCTTGGGGCTGTTCCTGGGGGATGACAGGGGGAAGGAGGGCAGGATGAAGGTGCCCTGGCTGGCACTGGGACCTTGGAAGGACGTGGTGGGCTCTGCCTGAGTGCAAAAACTCCTCTGGGTCTTGCTGGGAAAACCGAGGCTGGAACAAACTGAGCAAAGGAAAAGAGAACAGTGCCTGTGGTAACTCGGTCTTGTGATAAGAATTTATAATGAAATAATACACTGTAAGAATGATTTCCAGTGAAATAATGCACCATAAAAATAATTTCCAATGAAATAATCTATCATAAGAATAATTTGCCATGAAATAATGCACCACTAGGCAGTCAGAGCCTGAAGGCTTTGCCCAAGCAAGCAGACAAATCAACCAACTTCATTCTGAAAATTGCATTCCCCTCCAAATGTGAGTTTCAGCCTTAAAATGATTTCTCAGGCATGTTTTGGAGAACTATATTTAAAAAACAGAGTGATGCAAGTAGATCAAACACTGCTGTGATCCTCCCACAGCAGCACCTTTTCTCCAACACCCTGACACAGATCAAAGGTGGGGCTGTAAATGAACAGCCACAAATTAAATCCCACAGGAAGGAGGAGCCATTCTCCATCTGGAGAGGGACTGAACAACCTTCCATAACAGTTCCCATTTCTTAGGGAAGCCAAGGAACAAAGAGACAGCTCCACAGTGACGTGTCCTGCTTTAGGCCACCAGCAGAAGTCACATACCTTTGTCCTGCTGACAGTTATTTAATCCCAAAAACTGCAGATCAGAGCCCACACTGCCACTCTTCCCACGTGCCTGGGGGTGTCCAAGTGTCCCTGAAATCTGGGGCTGGTGAGAGCCCAGAGCACCTTCCAAAAGAGAACACAAAGAAGCAAATCAGTACTTCACCAGAGAATATCCAGTAATATTTCACAGGGAATGCAGACTGTGTGTAGCTCAGAGTGTGAAACTCAAATACACTCCGAGTACTTAATTCCAGAGTCTCTAAGCAACCTCAGAAAGGGAAAGGGAAAAAGGGAAAAGGACTGGCTGCTGTTCCAGGGCGCTGCTCCAGCTGGGAATTGCAGGGGGGCAGGAGAACAATCCCCTCTCTGAGTGTGTGACAATGAAGGGGAGCAAACTTGGCAGGACCAGGAGTCCCCAGAGGGGACAAGGAGCGAGCCCAGGGCCACGGGGACACAACCACTCAGGTCTGGTCTTGCCCAGGCCTTTCAGAGCCTTCTGGCCACCGACCACCCAGCTCTGGTGTGCCCTGGCAGCTCCAGCAGGTCCCTGTGCCCCACTCACCAGCAGAGAGCACAGAATGCTCCAGGTTCAGCTCCACACTGGGCTGCAGTGCAGGTCTGCAAGTTCTGCTCCTGCTGAGAAACAGCTCCTCACTGCCCGGGACTCCCTGCGAGGGACGGAGCTTCGGGGAGGGAGGGAAATCACTGGATGCAGCCAGCTGTAGGGAAAGGCAAAAGAAACCAATAAAATCCAATACAATACAATAAAATACAATCCAATAAAATAAAATATAAAATATAAAATATAAAATATAAAATATAATTATAAAAGCAAAATAAATCAATAAAATAAAATAAAAATATAAAAGCAAAATAAATCAATAAAATAAAATAAAAATATAAAAGCAAAATAAAAAATAAAATTAATTAATAGCAAAATAAATCAATAAAAAATACAATACAATAAAATATAAAATATAAAATATAAAATAAAATTATAAAAGCAAAATAAATCAATAAAATAAAATAAAAATATAAAAGCAAAATAAAAAAATAAAATAAAAATAAAAGCAAAATAAACAAATAAAATAAAATAAAGAATATAAAAATATAAAAGCAAAATAAATAAATAAATTAAAAAAAATTAAAAAGCAAAATAAATAGGTAAATAAAAAAATAAAATAAAAAATAAAAGCAAAATAAATAAATAAAATAAATAAAATACTAAAATAAATAAAATAAAAAATAAAAGCAAAATAAATAAAATAAAAAAATAAATCAAAATGAATAAATAAAATAAATAAAATAAAAAAGTAAAATAAATTAAATAAAATTAAAATTAAAAGCAAAAGAAATAAAATAAATAAAAAATAAAAAATAAAAGCAAAATAAATAAAATTAAAAAGTAAAATAAATAAAATAAAATTAAAATTAAAAGCAAAATAAATAAAAAAATAAAAATTAAAAGCAAAATAAATAAAATAAAAACATGTGACATGAAAGCACTGCTCTGTGCAAACAGCACAAACATCCTCACACGAGCTTGACTTTCCCACCTACCCAATACTCAAACATTTTAAGCATTACAAAGCATTGTAGCTGTTTTGCAGTTCTAGCTAAAATACAGGTTAAAACTACTCCCACTGAAAGAGGGAAAAAAAAAATTCCACCAAAATAAACTGGTAGAAAATAGCACTGTTTTAAAAATTGAATATTAAAAATTAAGCATTGACTTTTTGAATGATGTGCTTTAGATGGGGAAGTGTTTAAATAGACAACAGAACCCCAAAATCCCAGAATGGAACAGTTCCTTGCAAACCACACACTCCAGATTCAGTCTAAAACTGTACCTGGCAACACCAGCAGCTTTTACTGAGAACTGGCTACAGGTAGGGAGAAAATCTCAATAATAGCAATATCTGACAAAGACAAGGTGATGCTTTAAATAAATTTCTGATTGAATTAGTAAAATCGGTGATTTAAATCATTCCCAGGCTGTATTTACTCTGCCCTCCCTTCCCAGGGACACAGGAGGGAAAGAACAGCAGGAAAATGCTGAAGTGCTTTATTGCAGGTTATTACAAGTTGGGATAAAGACATGAGACCTTGGCATTCCCATTCCTGCAATCACCAAACATCATTCCATCCACGGATCCTTAATGAAACATTCCCTGTTCACATCACCACAGCCTGGTTCCAGCTGGCAGAGAGGGAATTTTCTGCTTAGGAGCTGGCACAGGATAAACTTTCATCCCATTTTTCCATACAGATAAAGCTACACGTGCAGAAGGAGTGAATTCCAACACTGCCACGACTGCAGAGCTTCGCTCAGCTGTTCCCATCCCAGCTCCAGGAGTGAAAACTCTGCTTCCTTGTACACAAATCATAATTACAGCATTGCAAATTCACTAAACACAGGCTTGGGGGTGGTGGGAAATAAAGCAAACTCAAAGCTGCCAGATGTTTCCCTGGAGTACACAACAGATCTGAGCAAAGGGATTTCTCAAACGGGTTCAAATTTCTTTAAACTCCACAAATGTTGGAAAATACCTGGATCCATCCACCACAGCCCTTGAGAGTGACCCATCGTGGAATCCTGGAATGCTTTGGGTGGATAAATCCCATCCCACCCCTGCCATGGGCAGGGATGTTTTCCTCTGTCCCAGGTTTCTCCTAGCCCTGTCCAGCCTGGAATCACAGGCAAACATTCCCTCCCTGTGGAGCTGGGATGACACCAAAGGTGCTCCTAATCCAACACCAGCAGCACCAGCAATGCTCTCCCAGAATGAAACCAACACCACACTAAGACAAATATCTCCCCAAAATCTCTCCCAGAAAAACGGGGGCTCAGGTCCCAGAGGGACACCCAAGGAAGGGACACTTTGCCCCACAGACTGGCCACCCTCTGTGTCCCTCTGATTGATGGAAAACAAAAAGGTTTTGTTCCATAAATCTGATTTCCCAGGGCATTTGAACCTCAGCAAAGCCCAGCTATCAAGTTCTCCCGTTATCAGATCAATATGGAAATGAGAAGAATTCCACATCTGCAGTTAGAGGAGATCCCCAGGAACTTTGTGAAAGGGCTTAAATGTCCAGTGAAATGTCCAAATGCTCTTTTTTCCCCCAAAAGGAACCTCTGGGTACCAAAGGCACCTCCAGCAGCAGGGTCAGAGCCTGCAGGGTCTGTGTGTCCCAGGGGTAACTTTCACCCTGCAATATTCCATATTCCAACCTGCCCTTGAACACCTGAGTGCATCCAGGGATGGAGAATCCCCAGAGGCTGCCAGACAAACCCCTCAGGCCAATATGCCTTATCTGCCTTTTATTTTTAGTACACATTAACTCACAGATGTTTTACTCACATCTTATCTGATCAGCAGAGTCTAGACACAGCCCTGGACAATCTCTCTGTAACATGACCCTAAAAATACCGGCAGGAAAACAGCCTTAAACATTAATCTGCTTCCATGCATCCTTTCAGCCACACAATGACTCCAAAAGTTAATTTTTAAGCAAATTCATTTGAAAGGAATGTCTGAATTAATAATTAATATTTGACATGTACAGAAACCAGTTGACTGCCTGAGATTTATGTGTGATAAATGCATTTTCCTTACTGAGGGAGCTGAGGGCAGTTCCAGGGTAACATCCCACACAGATCCTGACTGCTGGATGGCCCAGGGACAAAAGCTGGACTCTCACAGCTCCTGGAATGTCCTCGGTCCAGGGAACACCAGCCAGCTTTACATTCCCAGATCAAAAACACAATTCATTTTCTTGCATCCAAGACAGAAAATCAAGGAATATCCTGAGCTGGAAGGGACCCACAGGGATCATCCCTGCCCAGACCCCCCAGCAATCCCAGCCTGGGCATCCCTGGCAGCGCTGCCCAAACGTTCCTGTGCCCATTCCATGGGGAGCTTTTCCAGAGCTCATTCCACCCTCCAGGGGAAGAATTTTTCCTGACATCCAACCCCAGCCCAGCTCCAGCTGCTCCCTCAGGTCACCAACACCACTGGACAGCGTCCCCTGCCCTAGAGAGCTTCAGTCAGGTGTGATGAGATGAAGGATCAGGATGTGAAGAAGGAGCAGCAAAGGTGTCAACTACAGCAATCAGGTAAATATTCCACTATTAAACCATCCCCATGTTTCAAGTTTCCTTTACAGTAACTGAGGTCTGGCCAACAGGACTCCAGTTCATCCTGTGCCAAATCAGGTTCCCAGTGCCAGAGGGCAGGGCTGGATGGGAGATTGGGAATTGGGAATTGCTGGCTGGGCTGGAATTGCCAGAGCAGCTGTGGCTGCCCCTGGATCCCTGGCAGTG